GTCTTATTTATCTATTCGATCTCTACGCTCCGCGACGTACAGTATGTGTCACAAAACCTGCTGGGCCCTGGCTCACTCCTAACTTGAAAATGATATTTCAACTCAGAGACGAGGCATTTGCTGTCTATCAGCATAACAGATCTGATCAGAATTGGACCAGCTACAAAGATTTGAGAAACTATACTCTTGCATCGCTTAGAAGAGAGAAAAAAGCATATATGTCACGTTTCGGGCATCTTAACTCTAGTCAAGCTTGGAAACACCTGAGGAGGATGAATGTGGTAGCCCAGAAACATGTTGCGATACCTCCGAGTCTTCTTGAGCCTAACATTTTAAATTATTATTTTCTTTCAATTTTCCAGATAGCTGCAGCTGATCGAAATTTGATTGATAGTGTCTCTAACTCTTATAGCGATACACGCCATATACCGGATGCACCTCTGTTTGCTTTTAAACTCCTTACTCAGCAAGACATCGTCAATATAATCTCCCACATTAAGTCTACTGCTTGTGGCTCTGATGGTCTAACTTTAAATATGGTTTGCTTATGTTTGCCTGATACCATAGACCATATAAATCGCATTATTAATGTCTGTCTTGATACAGGTTACTTTCCTGCCAGTTGGAAAAATGGTATTATTATCATCCAGAACAATATTCGGATCTCAGGCCAATTACCTTATTATGCTTTCTATCAAAAATACCCGAAAGAGCTGTCTACTCACAACTAGTGGAGTTTTTCGAACAAAATCACTTATTTCCTCTGCATCAATCAGGTTTCAGAGCTGGTTACAGCACTGCTTCGTCTTTATTACATCTTACTGATTCCATCATTCACAGTTTAGATAATCACATCAACACCGTCTTGGTACTGTTAGATTTCTCGAAAGGCTTTGACATGGTCAATCACCAGATACTACTGAGTAAGTTATCTCATTATGGAATGTCAGATATAGTTCTAAGGTTATTTGAGTCATACTTGCTAAATCGACATCAAACAGTGAAAACTGATCAGGGAATTTCCTCCACTGAGCCAGTTCCATCAGGAGTTCCACAGGGTTCAGTATTAGGTCCCTTACATATCTGATTTATACGATCGATCTGCAAGACTGTTTAGTCCACTATTGTATGCAAACTTATGCAGATGATACTCAGTTAGTGTTTGCTTTCGATCCATCAAAGGTTGATGAAGTTTCTTTTAAAGATAATTCAGATTTGGCTAACATTAGTGATTACTGTAACAAACACTGGTTGAAGATCAATCCTAATGAAACTACTGCAATATTGTACTGTTCGAAGAACTCCTACGGTGGAATGAAGCAGAGGATTTGTGTTGTTTTGGATGAGACACTCATCCCTTTTGTGGATTACGTCAAGAATCTCGGTGTTACCCTTGACTTAAATATGAGATTCGATCGGCCTGTCTCTTTCTTATCTAGATTAACGTATATGCGTTTGAAATTCCTCTATTCTAATCGATTCATCCTGAATTTTAAAACCCGAAAAAAGCTCGCCGAAAGTCTTGTGTTGTCTGTCATTTCTTGCTCTGTTGTTCTTTATTACCCATGTTTAGACTACGTCCACAAAAGGAAACTCCAGAAAATTCAGAACAGCTGTTGTAGGTTGATTTTTGGATTGCGCAAGTTTAGTCGCGTCTCAGATAAAATCAAAGAACTCAACTGGTTGCGAATTGATAAGTTATTTTTAAATCTTTTGACCGTCTTCACGCATAAAGTTCTATTATCTAACAGACCAGCTTACCTTGCTAGCAAATTAGTTTCCCGTGGTAGTTTTGTTACCAGAGCTCTTAGATTTAATGCTAATTTTGACATGCCTCCTCACAATACCTCGTCTTTGAAAGAGGTTACACCTATAATGCTGTCAAGCATTACAATGCAGTCAACAGTGGCTATGGATTGAAACAGATTGCTTATTTTGAGAAATTAATGAAAAGTCAGCTGCTTGAGTCCATTTAGTTCAGTTTTTCTTGTGTTCATGTGCTTTTTTTTACTATTTTCTACTATTTTTGTTTCAAATTTAAAACTCTCACAATACTATCTGAATTTGTCTCGTGCAGTCAATGTTGTCATGCTTATGAACTGTATTTTTTTAATGTTATTATTTTGTTTATGTGTTTAAGTACTCTTTTTTTTCTGTTGTAAGAAAACAAAAAAATTATTTATGGGTACGTTCATATAAAAGTACGAAATTGTTATGTCCCTATTGAAAAACCAATTATTAAATCAAGAGCACCTATTTTTCCACTTGGCCCAAGTAAATTGGAAATGGAAATTATCAATTCATAGTGTTCTAAAAACATCCTTACACTAAATGTGTCAAAATGTAAAATAGTAACATATTGTAGGAAAAAAATGGTATGCTTTATGATTCCTATAGCATTAATGAGGTAAGATTAGAAAGAAGCAACAGGTATAAAGACCTAGGTATTACATTAGATACCAAGTCCACTTTCAGTGATCACATAAATAACATTATACAGGGTGTTTCGAAAGATTAGTCATTTATTTTAACTGCTTGTACATATAAATGTTGCATAATAAAGGAAATGGTAGAAGATTATTAATAAAAAAGTAAGAATGATATTACACAGATTTTTTGATATTCTCGACCACTGTTGTGTAAAATCTTACCGTTTTTTGTTTACTACTCTTACCGTTTATCTAAATTTAGCAAACTTTTTGTATTATGATATGGTTTTCAGTACGAGCCTTTGGTTCGATCAGTTGTATCAGTCTTTTAATAGTGCGTATGCTTTCATTTGTCTGATTATTTTGTGCAAAAAATGGCTCATGCTTATGAAAACAATGAACTAGTGGACAAAATGCAGCCCGAGCATGCAGGTTGTACGCTGAAAGGGAAACCATCCGGCCCCACGGATATTTGTACATTTAGTTATTACACTTCGTGACACATCATATTCAATTATATTAGATCAGCAACTAACTTTCAACAAACATGTTGACTATATGTGTCGAAAATTCGGCAAAAGGATAGGGTATTTTCGTAGAATTTGTGAGAATCTAAGTCCCTGGTGCAGAAGGGTAGTCTACAATACAATAATTTTTCCTCATTTCACTTATTGTGCATCACTTTTGATTACATGCACAAATGAGCAAAAGCAAAGGTTGCAGATTCTATTAAATAAATGTATGCGGATTTTGTTAAATTGTAGCAAGTATACCCATATATAGGATATGCTAAATTCATTACATCTTTTAAACATACACCAAATTGTCCAAGAGGCACATTTAATTCTTTTATATAAAATTATCAATAATCAGGCTCCACCTTATCTTGAAGAGCTTCTAAAAAAAAGATGTGAAATGCAAGGTTACGCCATTAGATCACAAGAAAATTTCTATATACAACGATTTAGATTGAAAGGCTTAGAAAAGTCGATGTTTGTTTAAGGTCTAAGAATGTACAAAAATCTGCCTATTAATGTAAAAACATCGAGTAATGCTAAAAATTTCTAAAAGACACTTTGGTGAGACTATTTTGGTTTGATGTGACGACCTCTTTGTAAATTTAACATATTTTTGTAAATAATCTTTATTATTGTTTGAAGTAGCTTAAAGCTAAATAAATCCCTTCTATTCTATTCTAAAAGAACAAGGAGGTCACGCTGGAAGATTGGCGCAACTTGAAACGATACAAATTGAGGAAGACATTTTAGAAATGGTCGAAATCAACCCAAGCAGCTCAAGTTTAAGTTTCTCAGAGCAAAGCGTGGAAGACAATACGATAAGAACAGTATTATTCTTAACATTATCAACGGGCATTACAACCATCTTAGAAGAGTTGCATTTTGTCAGTGGCTTTAACAACAGTTCGGCTGAAACAAATATTTTACGAAAAAATTTTGTGGACAGACGTGGCCACATTTACACGAAATGGGGTGCACGATTTCCACAACAATCATGTTCGGGCAGTAGAAAATCCGCATGCTGTAAAAACAACTCATTTTCAAAATATGTTTTCATTAAATCTGCCACAATTATTAGATGTTCCTCTAAATGTGAGACAGAATATGTGGTTCCTACATGATGGGGCTCCACCACATTTTAGACGAGAAGTTCATGAACATTTAAATTTTCCGATAGGGCGCAATGGAGTCACTTCTTGGCCTACTCGATCCCTGAATCTAACGCCTTCCGATTTTTTTCTGCGGGGCTATTTGAAAGAAATGATGTATTATGATGGAGCAGTAAATACTCTGGAAGAACTTCAACAGCGCACTCAAAATGCTTGTGATTTAATTGGTGGACACCAGGATTTCATTTTCAAAGCCAGTTAGGTTTTGGAATGCCTTCAACAAACTGATTAATTATTTGATCGGTTTCCTCTTCGGACGAAAATTTTCTACCACGCAGACTTTTTTCAAATTGTTGAAGAGCTTAAAGTCACACATTGCCAAATCTGGTGAATAAGACAGATGTTGATGTGGCACTGGCGTAAAAAGTCTACAGTTAGTTTGGCAGTGTGGCTAGAGGCATTGTCGTGATGCAGGATTGCACGGAACAACTTTTTTTAAATGAAGATAATCATGCAAAATGGTGGGAGCTGTTGCGGATTTTACTCCAAGAGTTGCCTCTATAGTCCCATAATTATGTGCAGCAAGAACCTTCTTCAATTAGCCGCAGAACTTTAGCAATGTTTTCTGGCCTACCGCTATGTTCTTCATCAGCCAATGAAACACGCCTTTTCTTAAATTCGGCATACCAGCTAAACACACTTGCCCAAGCTTCATTACCAAATGCCTGTTATAACAGTTCGATACATTGATGTTCAGTTAAATCGACTATCCGAGGGATGTCTTTTAAGTTTTGCATATAATTAGAAACATAGTAGGCCGCGCGGATCGAACGTCGGTACTGAATCTTAACCTTACTCTTTAGTAAACTTAAATTCAAAGTTTCACAACAATAATAATGTTCTCACTACAGTTAATTTTTAAGTGTCACCAAGTCATTAGAAAAATGGAACTCAACCGAGAACATTTTCGCTCCATAATTTATTACAACTTTCAGAGACAATTATCGCAACAAGAATGCCTTACTAAGTTACTGTCTGTTTTCGGCAACGAAGCGCGACATCAGTCGACAATTTCCCGTTGGTATGGAGAATTCAAACGTGGACGGGTGAGTCTTAGCGACGATCCCAGGGTGGGTGCACCAAAAACGGCAGTCACCCAGAAAAACGTCGATTCTGTGCGCAAACACATCATTGAAGATAGATATGTGACATCGCGAGATTGAGGCGTACTTGAAGATCTCAAAGACTTCAATTCAAAAAAATTTACATTAAGAATTAGGATTGAGAAAATTAGCAAAGAGCAATGAGCAACATTTGTGTCAAAAGCGGGTCATATTGCAAAAATTCCTCTTAATGAGCAAAGAACTGTTACTGCGGATTGGTATACCACCATTTGTTTACCGAAAGTCATCATCGAGCTTCGGAAAATCATCCTCCACCAAGACAATGCAAGCCCGTACACAGCCCAAAAAACAAGGCAGTATTTAACGGAAGAAAACGTGGAATTATTGGAACATCCTCCATATAGTCCCGATCTAAGTCCTAACGATTTCTTTACTTTCCCGAAAATTAAAAACAGACTGCGTGGTCAAAGGTTCCAGTCACCAGAAGAAGCAGTTGACGCATTCAAAAATGCCGTTTTGGATCTGCCAGCAAACGAGTGGAATAAGTGCTTCTTAAATTGGTTCGAGCGCATGCAGATGTGTATTAATCGTCGTGGAGAATACTTCGAAAAACAACTAAAGTCATTTAAAACTACCTACCGTGGTGTTTTATTTCCATATGCAAATTTCAAAGACATCGTATAGTCATAGTAAATCATAGCGCGATAACTCTCTCGAGACAACTCCAATTTGTTTACACCTCGTGCACTGTAAAAGGTTTACAAATGAACTGAATGCGGCGACTTACTAATAAAGGACTGCCCTTTCTAATAGTGCACTGTTGCCGGTTTGAACTAGTATAGTAAATGCGCATCTCAAAATATACAGCGTGTCCCTCGTATATACCTTTTAATAGTGAAAACTAACGCTCTCATTTTTGGTATATCAAGCTGTTGAAATAAATAACTCAACTTTGAAAACACCCTGTAACGTCTGCTTCTCGAATGCTAGGTGTTAGAAATTGGTCAGGTTTCCCGACTGAACCTATAGTTCATTTTCCAACCTGTCAAACTGATTATTCTTTTTTTTTTCAGGACATGCTCACGTTGAAAAACAGTCTGACGATACATACACCCTACACGTTCCTGAATACAATCCACTCAGACTTCAAACTGGAGATCAAGAGAGGATCTGTATACCTATTTGGCTTAACATTGGATTTACAAAAAGAAAAAGAGCTTCACAAGGTATGTTAAATAAAGACTCGGTTCAGGTATTACCCAAACCTACCTTTTTGTATGGAGGTTTTATGTTTCGAACGCACACAATATAGCTTCGAGTAGGTTGACTCTAGATTCCTCACGAAACGCTCTAATAAGTTCATAGAACTTGGGAAAAAAGTTAACTACGAACATGTTCAACAACTATTCCATGGTTGAATGTCAGTTATCAAAGCTGACAATGCGTACTTGCTTTCAACGGGCTATTCTGCGCTGTCAGTCATTAGCGTAGTGTTAAATTACGAGGGTTGTTTAAAAAATAGGCTTCCTATATTTTCATGTACAAGACATTTTTGTTCTGTTCAAAAACTTGGTAACTGGTCCTTGCATCTCCTAGTCCGTCTTGAACCGTTGAACGCCTAGGTGCTCCTTGAACTTCGGAAACGCTATGTCAGGACTGTAAGCCTACTTGCACACACACCGATTTTGGATGGCCGGTAAAATATCGACCGATTTTTTATCGGTAGGCTCTGCTTACACTCGCGCCACTTTTTACCGGTGCAGTGATGATTTCCAATATTATTTTTAATGAATCCCCAACGACGAGTTGTTACAATGTGGTTACTGTACCAGCATATAAAGCATTGTAGAATTAAGCGAAAGTTCTGGATTCATTTTTCTCTTTGGGCTCCATTTCTTTAAAATCCTCATTCAGTTCGCAGCAAACTTGACTCCATGCTTCTCTAGTAGCGCATCTGCCTTTAAATATGTCCAATTATCCCATGAAACTGGTCTTGCTTCCACTAGCGCAATAAGTATGTCATTATCGATGCTCATCTCTTTATCCATTGTAAACGTATATGCAGTCGTAATCACGGCCATTAAATAATAGGTGAGTGTGCAAGCTCCTATTGAAACACGTGTGCCTCTATATTCCCGGTACGGGCGCATCACAGTGACAATGTCCGGCTGCTAACCGGCTTTTTTCCGGTGCCGGTTGGTGGTCCGCCAGTGTTCAAGCTTCAATGCCCTCCAATGGTTTACTATTAAAATGTGGTCGGCCGATATTTTACCGGCCGTCCAAAATCGGTGTGTATCCAAGTAGCCTAAGAAATGGAGTCCAAAGAGAAAAATGAATCCAGAACTTTCGCTTGATTCTCCGACGCTTTATACGCTAGTACAGTAACCACATTGCAACAACTCGTTGAGGATTCATTAAAAATAATACTGGAAATCAGCACTGCACCGGTAAAAAACCGGCGCGTGTGTAAGCAGAGCCTACCGATAAAAAATCGATCGATATTTTACAATCGCCATTTTTTCTACGCATTTTTTTGGACGTGAAATTCACCTTTTCGCTCCCACCTCAAGGAAGACCACCGCCAGCCCGTTTAGGAACTTGGTAACCGTTGACCGCTTAGGTGCTCCTTCAATTCGGAAACGCTGTGTCCGGGCTTGAAGGGGAATGTTTCCCCATATACTTCACTGAGCTGGTGAATTTCTATGGGTGGTAACATTTTTGCGTGCAAAAATCGGATGACCCCACGAATTTCGCACCTGGCGGAGACGGCCATGAAGCGCTCCATTGCGCATGGCTCTCGGGCCTATAATCAGCATCGCAAATAGGGGCTTCTTGTTGGGATCGATGGTGGGGGCGCCGACAAATACGTCGGTGTTGTCAGATTTCGCCTAGCATCACGCGCGGCAAACTTACAACGTTGAGAATCGTATCCTTGAAACAACCCTCGTAAATTGTTTGCCTGGCCCGGAATGCATCGAAATGAATCAAATATAATTTTTGAAGATTATGGTGAATGGTTTGACTCCAACCTACATTACCATGCCGGCAATTATTCGCTTTGAGCACATCCACTGTTTTGATCAATCCTAACTTTTGGCATATCTGCTAACGTAGATATACCTTAACAAGATATGACGGGCTCAGGGGGTTATAATTGATTACATTGAGAAGGGTATACGGGTGATTAGCAACGTAGTCAATCACATTAATTCGGATTTGGAATCAATATCATAAATGCAGTAGCGCATTTGAATATTCCTAGTTTTAGCGATAGCTTTCATTCAGCTGACCACAGACGGTTAATCATGGACAGCTGTTTCGCGCTATTTGGCAGCTCCTCCTGGTGTCAGCTAGGAAAACAAACAAAAGCTGAGCAGCAATTATCAATTCATAGTATGTCTATCGAAATAATACATAATGTTCCATCTTTTACCATAATCGACCACTGCGATGGTGACAACAGCCAGCAGTGGCCGATTCTGGTAATAGATGCCGCTTTGCGCTGCCTGGATAGATACTAGTTAGAATAGAATAGGATTCATCTAGCTTTGCGCTGCTTCAAACGATAACAAATATTATTTAAAAAAATGTGTTAAATATACAAAATGGTCTCTCTGAAGTATCTTTTTTGCATTAATACATGTTTTTACATTAATAACGGATGTCCTGAAAGCTTTGGCACAAAATACTTATCGGATTTTTTTAATGAAGAAACTTATTTAAGCAATAACTAGTTATCATAAATTACAACTCAGTACTTATCTAAATTATACTATCGAATTACGTGGAGTCGCCCATTCTGCTCTACCAGACGCAACTTTCTTCGAATGTCTCTCATGAGACCCTGGACGGAATTCAGATCAATTTCTCTCAGGTTTTCGTAAATTCGCCGTCTTAATTCTTCTTCATCCTGGGCTTCCCAGCCTCCATGATTAACTTTCCTAGACAGTAAAGCCCCAAACTGGGCGAGCCTACGGCATGTGTGGAGGATTAGCGTTTTTGGGAACAAAAGGAATGTTATGTTGTCGAAGCCAGTTTTGGGTATCTCTTGGGTAATGGCATGCGGCTAGGTCTGGCCAAACTGGAGCAATTTGGAAAGATAGTTATCAATATAGCTCTGATTATTCAAAGCTTCACCCCTTACTCTTCCTAAAAAAGGTTGTGATACACCCCTGGTAGAAATTGCGCACCAGAAGAAATTTCGCTTTATGTTTGTAGCTAATCAGAGCATATCCCCACGTTGTCTGTACGAAATCCGTCGTTTCCCTTCATTTCAGAATTACTCAAAGTGAAACACTTTTCGTCAAAATAAGGATTTTTCCATTGGCAAAATGTACAGGCCTCAGTTGATGACAGGATCTTGGGAAACGAAGTAGTTGCGCTTGAGACTCTTAAGACTCTTTCGATATTTGAGACCATTCCTCCTCAATTCCAGCGATATCGTACTCTTCGAAGATCTCTATTGACGAGCCAGCCTCCGTGTTGACATTCCAACCTCATTTTTTGCGCTTCTCACCAATCCCTCTGACCTCTGTGCAGTAAATGGACGTGGTGTTCCACTTTTTGGGAGATTCAGACGTGGTATTCCCTGCTCGCTCTCTGTTATTGTTCGATGAATGAATATTCGACAAATTTCAGCTTTGGTTACCCGCCCAACCAACTTGTAGATACTTTTTCTTATTTCTAATTTATACGGCATCTTAAAGCAAAAACTTCAAAATAAATAAGTAAGTAAACAAAGTTTTGCTTCCAAAGGCAACTTGATATTATTTTGTGTTTGTTAAAATACTAGGTAATGAACTTTGTGTCAAAACTTTCAGGACATATCTTAGGCAGATTGTTGTACATTTTTAGACCTTCAACTTTGACTTTCCAAATACTTATATTTGGATCTTTGTATCTAATGTCGTAACCTTAGAAATTTTTCGACATGAGGTAAAGCCTCATTATCGATAGTGTTATATAATAGAGTTACCCGATCTTTTTGCCTAATTTCCGACACATATACTTAACATGCTTGTTGAAGGTTAGTTGCTGATCAATTATAATACCTAAACAACAACAAAATCAAGTACCTCTTCCTCAATTTTCGCCTAGGAAATTCTGGTATTTTAAATAATTTAGGTTTGACAATGTCCATTCATCTCTGCAAAAATACAATATGGCAGAAGACGAAACGTCATACTGAAATCATAATTACGCCATCATGTAGAGCAGAAAAAGTGTCAATGTGGAATTTATTTTGAAATCCCACTACAAATAAAGTCAGGAAAAAGATTAAAACGATTTTGGAAAAAATCGTTTTTTGAAGTCTCTTTCCGGGAAGACTTCGTACCTCTTGCAGTTTATGAGATCCCAATGGTGAGGGTCGAAACACCCTGAATAAGTAGTAAAGGATCGACAATTCACGCGGTATTTATGAGATTTTGAATTGTGACATCGAAACTAATCAGTATGGCCAATCCTTCGTTCTTCGGAATTGTGGAACAATCTGGCTGAAGAAATTTCCTTAGTTCTAAGCCTAGAATCCACCCACTTGATGCATTTTTTTATTAATTTGGTTCTAACCGCGTAATTCCAAAACAACTGAGCCTTTGTAAACTTTTCAAGAGCCAGTAATACTCTCCCATTTTATTAAATGACCTAAGAGTATCGTAACTTCCGTTCTATATGGTTTGCAGCCCTAGGAAAATACTTCTTCTCAACTACTTCACAGTAAAAATATGTTTGTGGAGTTCCCAGTTTTTAAAAGTTCCAAGTTTAAGGTAACAGTATGCTTGCATGAGAGTAATTTTTCTCTACCTAATATTTGTTGGTTACTCTTATTATCGGATAAACCTAGCAACTTTCTATGAAAGCTATTAGGTGTACTGGAAAACTTTACTCGTTCCAACACCAACAAATTTCGATAGCTACTCTCAATTTGTTTGACAGATACCTGGCTCACTCTTCCTACCAGTGCTCTTGCGTAACGAAGACGATTCTTGTTTATATTTTCAGAGATGAGATAGTTTATCCAATACTCCATTGACGACACTATATTTTTAAAATTTCAACCTGGAAGTCGTGGGACAAGAAATGTTGTACGAATGTGCTGCGAAAACGCGTGACTTTGTCATATCACGTTGCGCTCTAAGGCTTATTAGCCCTTTCTCCTCCAAATGACCCAATCCAGCAGTCAGCTATCCTGTATTAGTATGTCATTCCACACTCAATATCTCGACTCTAGCGTTTGGCTAGCGTCAGAAACTGCTCACCCTCCAACAGTGGGTTTCACACAGAATTTACAACGACAACAGCAGTAAATTTTATGTCAAGAGCAGAGCTAACCACTTTTGATATCCACTATCTATAAACAATAATAAAGAAATAACAAAAAAGTGAACTTAGTAGTACTATCATTAATCCTTCAGAAAAATACCGCTTTTGAATTTGGACAACCTGTACAGTGACGGCAGGCTAAAGGAGAAAAGGAGACAGTCAAGGTGTGAGAAATGTTGGGAAATTGCTTGAAATATGTAAACAGTATGATAGATCAGGCAGCATTCAAGAATTAAAGGGGAAAAATTATTTCCTTGTTAATTTTTTGCGAGTTTTGTATATATTTTTTATAAAAATATCCATATTAAATAAACTGTTTGAGTGTGTTTAATTTCTTTCACTCAAAGTCCTAATGACAGCTGATTTGAAATTTCTATTATACTATAACAAATTTTTAAATACGGTTCTGTCTAAAGCTGGCCAATCAAATGCTGCCTGACAATTGGAAACTAGCCGGCCGATAAGTAGCACCTTCTATCAGAGTACTGGCAAAATAGTACCTTTTTGTTGAATATTTTTTTATAAAACTATAGGAATATCTATAAGCAACGTATTTGTTTCGGCGAAAAGTTTCCATTTACGATCACCTCCGGAAGCATTAGTTGTGTTATCTTGAACACAAAATTCGTAATTATACTTTGTATTCCACTTTTTTTAACTGCTCGACCATTGGCGCATTCACCCAACACAACTTTTCCCCAATTCAAGCAACTTCGTATCTCTTGCCGTTTCCAAGGTACCGCTGGTGAAGGTCGAAATTGTAACACCCGGTATATGCTAGCAGTGAAAGCCCAAAAAATATACTGAAGGCGTGATAAGTATCAAGGGGTCATTTTCACCCCTATATTTAGCTAATAAGCGCCCACCCCAATGTAGATACCCCTCATAACGATTTTCTGATATATGATTTTACTATTTTGAGATAAACTGATTCTGTGCACTACTACACACTACGATTCCCTTCCCACTTCAGTTGGCCCAACTATTGAAATCTTAGTTTTTTTCTTATCAAACACAAATAATAAAAATGTAGCAGGGTTCAAAATATTAACAATGAATATTTTGATAATATATAGTAGAAAACACCAACTTTATCACTCCCTAATCAAATTTGCAGCACAAAAATAACACATGTTGCAATTACAGCATATCATCCTATTTTCATTTCAATGCAAAATAAGTCTATAACGCATAGGTGGCTGTGAAAAATAAAAGCCATGACAATTGTTTTTATTAATCACAGCTGTCAGAATACGTTTAAAATAGTTTTGGGTAGTTAAGGTTTTCAAAATGGGTAGAGGAAAGGTTATTAATGAGAAAATTCGGTTTCTGATAATTAGATTTTTTAATTCTGGGAAATCAGACTCAGAAATTGCAACTTTCTAGACTTATCGCGGTACAGTGTGAGAAATATTGTTAGAAGATATAACGTAACTGGTTCAGTTAATATTAAGCCACGATACGTGAAAAAAAGTAATATCACAAATGTTGGAAGGAGAATTTCGAGGTCCGCAACTCATAGAGAGGCCCACAAACTGGGATTTAGCACTTGCAAGGTAAGTTTTCTTATAAAAAAAGTGAAGTAAAAATCAGCTTAGATGGGCTAAAGAACATAGACAATGGACACCTCAACAATGGTGTGCAATACAATGGAGTGATGAGGCCCGATTCGAAGTTTGTGTTGGTCACAGTCGCAGTAGAGTTATTCGAAAAAAAATGAAGCATTCCATGGTGACTGTCTGAAGAGAAAAGTGAAATTCCCAGCATCTATTGTGGTCTGGGGCAGTATGTCATCAAAAGGAGTCGGAAAACTTCATTTTATTGATGGAATTGTAGATACAAACAAATATTTGTCAATTTTAGAAGAATCGCTTTTGCCAGTGATGGAAGAATGTTTGACATCCGGCCAAGATTTTGTGTTTCAGCAAGATGGTGCAGCGTGCCATACCTCAAAAAAGGTTATAAAATGGATGGAAGAAAATAATGTACCACTTTTGAAATGGGTTTCTAGCAGTCCAGATCTGTCACCTATTGAAACTTTGTGGCACGAGATGAAAAAGGTTCTACGACAACATCCTGCTCGTACAATCACCGAACTGAGACAAAAGCTTCAAGAAATATGTTTTACACCCAATTTTTGCCAAAACTTGGTTAACACTATGCCACAAAGAATTTCAGCCGTAATAAAAAATAAAGGTGATGTTACCCAGTGGTAATCTTTCAATTGTTGCTTTGTTAACTTCGCGCATTTATTCGCACATTGTTTATTTGTTCAGATGTTCTCTTAGTTATAGGTCTAAGTGATTTCAAATATGTATTTTTTACGACTAGAGTGTATCTAAAACATTTCTGAGAAAATAAATTGTTTTAGAAGTAAATAGTTTCGTCATGTTTAGTTTATAAAGACATATTTTGGAACAAATCTTGAAGTGGGCCAACTGATGTGGGAAGGGGCTCGTATAAGCAAATTTCAAAAAAAGTGCAAACCCTGTAACAAACAAACAAATTGACACTTACCATTTTCCGCCATTTCCGTATCGCCGTGTCTGCGAAGTTTTCGTTCATTCTTCCCGTAATCCAAAGGTGCAAATCACCACAAGCACTCACAAACACTTATTGCACATGCCACTAGCACATTTTCCTAGGTACGACAAGGTTTTACCTCTGAAAACACAGAAACCAGCGCTGCCGAAGAGCCCGTGTTAGGAAGTCCGTGGTATCTCTGAAGTTTTCCTCAATTCTTCCTTTAATCAAAGGTGCAAACCACGACAAAACCGACAAATATTCAATCACCATGCCACAAACACACTTTTCCGGGTACGGCCGAATTTTCCTTTTGAAAACACTGAAAATAACGCTGCCGAAACGCCCGTGTAAGAGGCACGCCAAGACTGTTAAAAATAATTGCAACATTGCATAGGTACCAGACGACAGACGTTTTTCTAGGATTTCAAGTTGGCCGTGGCTCGAACTCAGTTCTGAGAATTCCTTCAGACCTGTTTGTATTAGCAAGGGCAATTTCGATTATTTTAATTATAAATGTCTGTGATACCTATCAGACGTACGAGTACCTACTGTAGTTGCATAAATACGAGTATGACGGCGAAAACTAATATAGATACGTAAATCATATTGTGATATTCTTTCTTTGTAAAATATTGTTTCGATTTGTAAATAACAGATTTACTACATATCAAATAAATAAGGGTCATTCTAAAAGAAATTCGGTCTTACAAACGATATCAAGTAGGCTGACTCTGCATGCTACTTGAAGTTGAATGACATTTGTTGCTTGTTGGTTTTCGTCGTATTTTGTCATAGTCCAGTCATTATTGGTAACGGTGTCAATCGAAATGCTGAACTTGCGCTCAAATCAGATTTTTTTAGTGGTAAATATAGCCCTTTCAGAACTATTATATTGATTAATGAATAATTTTTATAGCTTTAAGAACAGGATTAATGAAAAATAATATTTCCTTAAATATCTCCGATGAATATCATATCAAAAATCTTGTAGGGCGAATGTGCCACTGACCCGGACACTACCAGTAGTCGGACAAATGTTATATTATTGGTAAAAACTTGAATATTTGAAATCCTATACTTGCTGGTAATTGGTTCCAGGTTTATCAACTACATTGTGACACTACAAAAATTCGACATCCACAGTTGTCATATTGACAATAGCATTAGCGCGTTAAAAACAGCATGCATTCAATTCCTCAATTTTTGTCATTTGTGCAGTGAGTGACATAAAGTTTAAAGGTAAGTCGAATCGTAAGCTGACAGTATACAGGGTGTCCAAATAGTGTGTCAAAGCTCAATATCTTCGTTGCTATTTGAGCTGCAGAAAAAGGTTAAATACAAAGGTTGCATGCACAGCTAAGGACTATAACCTAAAATAAGTTTTAGCTATACAGGGTGTCACATTAATTAGTGGCAACATAAACTTGTATTTTTTTAAATGGGACATCCTGTATTTCTTTTGATTTTTAGACTCGCCGTTTCTTGGCCATTCTGCCAATGTATGGTTCGGGGGTTTGTACTGGGTATTTCGGAATACATGGCCACTTTTTCGTTAAAATCATTGTACATTTGACTTCCCGTATCTTAAACACACTTTAGATAAAATCTGTTTTATTATACTGAGGGATGGAAATAGAGGTAGACATTCAGATAGAATGTTTTTTACGTACATGTTTCATCCGAGGCATACAGGGTGAGTCAAAACGTTAAGCTTTTAATGCAACCCAATCCTGTATGTTATATCTATATATACTTCCTGATCCGATATGTGAGCCTTCCTGTTTTGAAGCCGTTGTATTTTTGCTAAATCAGTACTAGTCAAACACGGCTCATAAATAAAGCTACAATTGTTGAAACGACTAAGCACCAAGATCTCATTCAAAGTTTTCCTCAAATTTTTACTTCGAAAATGTCGACTGCTATATATGATTTTTAGAGAAGTGAATGCTTTATATACTAGAGTTTGAGCATGGATACAGAAACGAAGGCTTGGATCAATAGTTAAACCTAGATTACGAGCAGAATCACAGAAACTGAGCACTTCATTCCATATATTCAATCAAAAAGTATCTTTCAAAATGTTTATGTCATTTTGTTGTTTGTAAGTTGTGCTGCTTAATTGAAGCTCTTCATTGAGAGTTCGTTATGTCTTTCATAACAAATAATAGTTTAAAGAAACTAAAAAACAAGCTTTTATAGCTAACCGAACTAAAGTAGAAAATAATTGTTAATTAGAAAGAGTTTATATTACAGTACCAGATGGTCGAACAGTCAATCATAATTAATGACCTCAAAATAAAATTATAATATAATTTAAGTTATCAACAGAATAATTCAAGTCAGAGTAAAATGCGTGGGGTGCTTGATATATTAAATGTCACAATCATTTTATTGGCAACTATCTATGAGAGAAGTTTCAAATTAATCAAACTTCTGGAAATTGCTGAAAATTATGCTCCAAGATTCCGTTACATGCATACAGGCCAAGCTAATTAAAGCGTGTTAAAAAAGCTAAAATAAACTTGAATGTCGTCAGCGTCAGCTTGCGCTATTTTGTATTTTCCTTAAAATATTTGTCGTGTATACTATATATAACAAGGGCCCAAGTGTAGACCCTTGCGGCACCCCTGACAGAATATCTATGCTTTCCGAACAAGAACCATCAATATGAATTTTCTGAGAGCGTCTAAGTAAGTAGCTCCATAGCAAAAACGGTGGTTCAGTGTCAGTGACGTCATAGTACTTGAGCTTTGAACACAACAATTCACGATTGATGATAGCGGGTCTCTGCTTAACGGGATTAATTTATACCAAAATTCCTGTCATATATGAACCAAAAGCGGAGTTTGAACTATAAACTTAATATTCAAATTTGCATCGTACTCTGGTATTTAGGGCTCGCTTTCTTGGCTATTCCAGTATATTACCAGCCCTCCGAAATCGATGCAATTCGCTTCCCACTTACTTATGTATTGTGAATACCGACTAAAACTTCTACAATTTATTATATCATTATGATTTATTAGTCTATAAGTTTCCCAGCGAAAAGCGGGATAATAATAAGTTCACTACAAATCTTCATGGAATAATAGACGTTTAAGTCTGAGTAAAAGCCTCTACGCGCCATGGCATACTCAGTTTCCTTAAGAAAATCCATTTTCAGGGATGTGGGGAAACTCGGCCGACTTTTAGGACAAAGCGTTAAAGTAAAAAGTTTGGCTCGAAAGCTGTGTAAAGCTTAATAAACTGCAATCTTGTATCTCAGAGAAAGACATCAACGTGATTTCCAAAAATTGATAAATTGCTTACATCACATTGAACCTCTTTATTTAATTGTTCTAAAAAAATAGCTTCAAGGAGATCGACTCCATATTTCCTGCGTCATTGATGGAGGTTTCGGAGAAAAGGGACGAGTCAAATCGTTTCAAAAGACGAAATCAAATCGTGATTAGGTATGTTTACTTAGGTACGATGAATCTTCGATCTCGGTATATCAAACTATATGAACCAAATCTATCATATTTCTGTTTCCATGGCAGATGTGAGGAAAATATGTGTGGCTTATTATGCCTAACAGGTGCATAGTGTCACTGAGACCAACAGCGTCTTAATAATATAAACTATACTAAGTGACATATAAATCCGAACACCCAGTTTAAATGGTTTTATTTTAATAAAATTTTGTATAAGTACTTAATGAAGCATAATAAGTAAATGATAAAAATTTCAAAATGATTGCACTGCTTTAAAGTCCTTTGACCTTTAATAATGTGTGGATGCACCCTGATGTGCTACGCATTCTCCAACGCGCCTAGGCATGCTTCTGATCAGGTGGTCAATGTCCTCCTGTGGTACTATATCTCATTCCAGGCAACCACCAACTCCTCTCGAAGTGCTTCTAGAGTCTGAGGAGGACGTTGCAAATTGAGCAATCTCCTACCCATCATATCCCACACGTGCTCAATTGGGGATAAGTTGGGAGATCTTGGTGGCCATGGTAACAATGTGACATCATTATGTTGAAAGAAGTCTATTGTGACTCTTGCAACATGTGGTCGGGCATTATCTTGTTGGAAAGTTGGATCTGCCAGGGTGTCAAGATAGGGTAAAAGATGGGGTTCTAGAACTTCGTGGATATAACGCTGCGCGTTCATGTTACCTCTGATGAAGATTAAAGGTGACCTGGAACCATAAGCTATAGCACCCCAAACCATAACTCCAACAGTGTGATGAACATGTCTTTCAACAAAAAACTGTGGATTCCTCCTTTCACCACGTCGCCTTCTAACCCTGGCACGTCCATCGTGCATGCCTAAACAAAATCGAGACTCGTCACTAAAGACAATACTGTTCCATTCCTGGTCCCAGAGTGACCGTTGTCTGCACCACTCAAGGCGATTACGTCGGTGTTCTCGAGTTAAAGGGAGGACCCAGTGTGGCCGGTATGAAAACAAGCCAAAACTTCTCATTCATCGGTAAACACTTCGCATGCCAATAGGTCTTCCGTGTTCTGCAAACCATTCATTTGCAATGGACCTGGTAGTGGAGAAACGGTCCCTTAAGGCCAATAATCTTAGGCGGCGGTCTTCACGGTCTGTTGTTCTACGGCGGCGTCCAGTGCCCCTTGCTCTTTGCGTACGGCCTTCTCGAAGCCAACACACACACCTAACCACAGTGTCTACACTTCTTTGCACTCTAACTGCAATTGCCCGAAAAGAAAGTCCAGCTTCCCGAAGTCCCACTATACGGCCCCTATCAAACTCACTAAGTTAACGAAATCGTACAGGTCTCCGTACTCTAGGCATCCTAACCGATCGTAAAGGATGTCAAGAACCAAAATCCGCCAACGTTGATTCTTTACTGCGGCTGAAATATTCATTGTTAGAGCGTTAGTGAATTAAAAAAAAAAACAGTATAAAAACCGGAATGTCCAACTGATAAGGCTGAAAATTTTTCACTTGTTATTTACAGTAAGATAAATACATTCACCAACTTTTATTAAAATAAAACCATTTAAACTGGGTGTTCGGATTTATATGTATGTCACTTAGTATATTTCGCATACATCAAAATTTGGAACAATTTACAACGATTTACCGCATACAGGTTCCAACTTACAACTTCATCCCATCCAAATAATCAATTTTCAAAGTCTGCGACTACCTAAACGATGGAAGTATTAAACTTGTCATGAACCTCAGTTTAGAAGTTTTCTGTTGCTTGAAGATATCTGCGTCACACAATTACGGGTTTCTTATTTATGTTGGTACTGAGTTATCGAGTAACACATATTAAAGAATCACAAAATTCAAATTTAAAAAATATGTATGTGGATACAAATCCTAATATACGATGGGAAATCTCAAAACTGCAGATACTACGGACCAAAATATGTGAATTGATCTACTTTGCGAGATATAGGGTGTCAAAGTTACAATTTTGTTTTCAAATTTTTTTATTGCTCAAGAAGTATATCAGATTTTGGCATAAAACTTGTTATAGGGAGGTTTTCTATTCGTATTATAAGAAACAAAAATCCGTTATTTTTTATGGCCAAACTTCTAGAGGGCGCCACTTACAGCACTATTTAGGTAAATAACTTATCATAACTTTTTTGTGCTACCCTGTATACAACGACTGACCGAAAAATCTCATTCTCTCGTATTTTCACAACAAAAAAGGTTAAAAGTCTAAAGCTAATAGGTTTTGAGATATTTGTTTATAAAACTTCCATGGTGATAAAACATTTTTATAACATAATAATCAAGTTGCTTTGGATAATATCCGAGTAGCGTTGCTATAGTTTTTAACAATAACAAATGAGGATGACAAGAAAACTAATAAACGGAAATAATAACTATAAAAATTGTTCAAAATGAGCACCACCTTACCCAACACACTCGAGCTCGATGAACTAACCCTTGCTGCACTTTCCAAAGCATTTGGATGCTTTCTTCATTTGCTGGGTATGGTGGAAAATTCTTTGTTGGAGATCATCTACGGCTTCCACTGGCGTATTGTAAACGCCTCGTTTTAAATCACTCCAGAAGAAGAAATCCATAGGGTTTAAATCTGGCGATCTAGCCGGCCACGATACAGGTATTGATCGGCCTATCCACTGGTCAGGATAAACTCTATTCAGGTGCTCTCTAACTAATATACTGAAATGAGGTGAAGCGCCGTCGTGCATAAACCACATATTCATGCGTGTTTTTAATGGAAGATCTTCCAGCAGAGGTGGGTAATTGTTCTTCAATAAATTATACCTTTGGCCTTAGTCTAGGTGGTAACTCAACGGGTCCTATTGAATATTGTTTAATTATTCCTGCCCATAAATCAATCTGAAATTGTTCTTGGTGGCGGGTTTGTATTATTGCATGAGGATTTTCGTCTGCATAAATGTGAAGATTATGCGAGTTAATGCGCCCATCCCTTCCAAATCCTGCTTCGTCCGAAAACAACATTAACGAAGTAAAACCGTTGTCGTGGTTAAACTTCCTTAAGAGCCTTGTACAAAATACTACCCTTGCGGGTCATCATTCGCGCTTAAATCATGTACTTTATGCAGGTGGTATGGATGGAGCAATTATTCTTGTAAAATGGTATTTACTGTAGGATTTTTAAAGACAGCATCTAAAACATTTTCTTCAACTTCAGCTGTACGTACAGTGCTGGGAGCTCTACTATGTCGGTCCACATTTTGAGAAAAACTACCTATAATTCAAATGGTTTTTACTACTCAAAATAAGGCTATCATCATTTCTTACCAGTTTCTCGTAACCGCTGATCGATTCGTTGGAAAGTCTTGAATTAGGCAGGTGTCTATTAGGGTATCTGTCAGCGTACAATCTTCGTGCCTTCAAAGCATTATTACATCTTGCCAATCCGTACAATAAATGCATATCAAAATATTCATCAAACGTATACTCCATGATGTTTAACAACTTATTGTCAACTTAAAATTATTCATGTAGTTTAAAGCAATATTATGATAAACATTAGAAACCATAGCAACGCTACTCAGATATTATCCAAAGCAACTTGATTATTATTTTATGAGAATGTTTCATCATGGCACAAATAATGCATTGGAACTTAAAACAAATATCTCGAAGACTATTAGCTTCAGATACTTTCAACAAGTGAACCTTTTTTGTTGTGGAAACACGCGAAAATAAGATTTGTCGGTCAGTTGCTATATACAGGGTTACACATGATAAGTTATTTACCGAAATAGTGCTGTAAGTGGTGCCCGGTAGAAGTTCGGCCATAAAAAATAAAGGATTTTTATTTTTCATACTAGAGATGGCAGACGATGTGGACGTATGTGCGATATTTATGTGCTGATAATTTCATTGTTAACAGCAAAGTAATAAAGTGCAACATGTGTGTGAAATCATTCCATCCTGTGTGTGTTGGGTTGAAGGATCTAATCTGCAAGTATCTGTGTGAGTTTGATAATCTGATCTGGCTTTGTGATAACTGCAAACAAGCAGGAAACTCTAGCGTCACTAAATCGCAGCTGGATGTTAATAGTGACAGTAATTCGCATATGTTGATACTGCGAAAAGAAATCGAATGTCTTAATAGAGAGAAAGATATCCAGGCTAAATTAATTAGCGAACTCGAGTCTTCCTGGGAGTTACATAAATTCAAATCCGATACGTAAAAGAGCTCAGTGAGGCAAAAAGTGTTATTGTTCCAGTAAAAAATATTACCAGCACGAACACGTATAGTCAGGTATTACAGAAAAATGTAAAGAATGAGAAAAATGTAGAATCGTCTGTTTTACTAGTGAAATCAGCTGATAGGAATAATAGAGATGATGTGCTACAAGTCTTGTCAAAAACGGTTATTCCTTCTCGTTTAAATATATACATTAGCGGCACGAAGGAAATTAAAGAAGGGGTTGCTGTGTACTGCAAGGGAGATGACGATGTGGCAAAACTCAAAAATGCTGTCAATGGTCAACTAAATGGCCGTTTGACTGCTAACGAGTGGAAAAAATACAACCCCCGTCTGCTAGTGAAAAATGTGAATTTCTCTGATGATATCAAGGATGACAAGATGTTAATTGAGAACATCGTGGGATTGAATGACATGGATCATCATGCGGATTTAAAAGTTATCACCAAAATTGAAAGAACTCATCAAATAGTTTTGGAAGTATCCCCTGATTTACGCAAGAAGCTTCTAGCACGAGGCTATGTCTGGTTGGGTTGGAGAAAGTGTCCTATTGTTGATCATCTGCGGATAACCCAGTGCTTCAGATGCTGTAAGTTCGGACATATTGCTAAGCAATGCAAATCGTCTACCTCTGCATGCATCAAATGCTCAAGAGATCATATGGCGAATCAGTGTGAGGTCGCAAGTGACCAGGTGGAATGTATAAATTGTGTAAGTTATGGTTCTAAGTCTAAGTCACACGTCCAAGTTAATCATGCTGCAAATGATTCTCATTGTCCGGCTTATATAAATTATGTGCGCAATTTGAAAAATAGAATTAACTTTGACTAGCAATTAGTTGAACGTCTCTTCTTTTGTACATATATTTCCTTAATGTTTAACTTTTTATTATTATTGTTAATACTCCTGAATCCATATGGAACCTGTTAGTATTACGAAGAAGTGCAAAATAGGTCACCTAAATGTAAGATCTCTGATGTCAAGCTTTGACGCATTTACGGACATGATGAATGAGGATTATTTTGACATTCTTGCTCTAACGGAAACATGGTTAAGCCTTGATATCACAATGGATGTCGTCAACATCAGAAATTTTAACTTTTTGCGCAAGGACAGGTTGTCTCGTTGTGGTGTTTGTATTAGACAAGACATACGTGCTGAGATTATTGATGATGACGTCACGCTAAACACAGCTCCATTTTTCGAGCAGCTATGGGTAAAATTAAGGATTGATCAGCATGACTTTGCTGTAGGTATATTGTATCGTCCCCCTTTACAAAGCCTAGTTGATTGTACAAATGCCTTAGACAATATAATGCCTAATGTACTGCGTAATTTTAAAAATATTATTATCCTTGGTGATTTAAATGTAAATTTATTTGCCGATAATACCTTACAACAATGCTTGGATATGTATGGTTTCAAGCAAATTATTCATGCTCCCACTAGGGTAACTAATAGTACAGCAACTCTTCGGGACCCTATTTTTATTGATACCCCAATCACTGTCACTAACTGGCTTACTTTAGATGCTAATTTGTTGTCCGATCATAAAATTGTGTGCTGTATCTTAAACATATCCCGTGTGAAACATGAACAGAAAATGATTACCTTCAGGGATTTCTCACACTTTGATGAGCAATCTTTCATTGATGACCTGGCTACAGTAAATTTTATTGAAATGAAATATGAGGAATATTGATGATAAAGTTCAATTTTTCAGTAGCAAGTTAATTGACATCATTCAATCGTCACTCTCCTATAAGGACGGTACGCGTGAGTAAGCCGAAAGCGCCGTGGTTGTCATATCCGTTGAGACATCTTCTAAAGCAAAAAACGAAAGCATATTATTTATACAAGATAGACAGAAGTCCAGCAAGATTGCAGGTTTTTAGGGAACTTAGAAACCTTGCACTATCGTGTATTTGGCATGAAAAAATGGCGTATCTTGCTCACTTGGAAAAAGGGCGTGATCAGAAAAAATTGTGGTATGAATTGAAAAATATGAAAGCACAGACATCTGATAAGCCACGTATTCCAAACCATCTTGCAGATTCGTTCCTTGCAAATAATTATTTCATATCAGTTTTTGTTTCCACAAATGCTCCTGATCACGTTTTAAGGTATTATAACGAAAATGTTCCTGATATTAATAAATTTTCTGTCAGGCTTCTAGAGCCTCATGAAGTAGCTGTAATATTTTCTAGTTTTAAGTCCGATGCAAAAGGTACTGATGGGTTGAACTTGTCTATGATTAAGCTCAGTCTGCCTGTTACTCTCATCTACATCACCCACCTTGCTAATAGTTGCCTTGAAAGAGGTTATTTCCCTGAAACGTGGAAGCGAGCAATTGTGGTACCAGTTCCAAAAAAATCAAATCCAGATCAGTTTGCTGATCTAAGGCCTATAAGTGTATTGCCTTGTTTATCGAAGGTAGTTGAAAAGGCAGCCCACATACAACTAATGCATTATGCAGAGGAACATATCATCCCATCTAATCAGTCTGCTTTTAGGAAATCTTTCAGTACTACTACTTCCCTCTTATAACATACTTGGTAGATAATATTATTAGAGCTCTTGATAAAAAAATGGGCGTAGCAGTGATATCAATCGATTACTCCAAGGCATTTGACAAAATAAATCATGAGTTGTTAATAGCAAAGTTGAAGTATTATGGCATAGATCCAATTGCATTGAACTTTTTTCGAAATTATATATCAAATCGATCGCAGTGTGTATCAGTTGAAAACAATAAATCTAGTTTTCTAGAAATCTCGTCTGGAGTACCTCAGGGGTCTGTTTTGGGTCCCTTGTTGTTTTTGATATATATTGCTGATCTGCCTAATGCTGTGAGTTTTTGTGAACTCCAGTCTTTTGCGGATGATACTCAACTGGTCACAGACATCAATAAACCATGACATTCAAAAAGTGTACGACTTCTCGAATAACCACAACCTGTCAATAAATCCTGGTAAATCCAGCCTGTTATTTTTTTGTTCGGATCGTAGGAGAGAAGAAATTAAAAGTCAATTAACTATTAAAATTGGATCTGAAAGACTGTACCCGATTGACGAGGTTAAAATTCTTGGCGTGGTAATCGATTTCAAACTTAGATTCACCAGTCATGTTAAAAATCTTTTGTAGAAAACCTACTTGAGACTGAGATCACTATATGCCAATAAAGCAATTTTCAATTATAAGCTGTTCATCTTTGGTTATGCCGATTTTCAACTACTGTGATATTTTATATTATCCGTGTCTCAATGTTGTTACTAGAAATCGGATTCAAATTGTGCAAAACAATTGTGCTAGGTTCATCTGCGGTTTAAGGCGCTTTGACCATGTTTCTGGTAGTCTTATTGAATTAAACTGGATGATAACAAAAAATATTGTCAAATATCATTACCTTGTTTTTATTCATAAACTAATACTTATGTCAAAACCTATATACTTAAGAGAAAAGCTGATCTTTAGGCGTAATATTCATCATAGACATATTAGATTTCCAGATTTGATAACTACACCTATTCACTCCACAACTTTATTCCAGCGTTCTTTTACGTACAGTGCTTCAGTGTTATACAATGCCTTGAGTCCTGAATTCAAAACCATGTCCTTAAATTGCTTCAACAAAGCTGTCAAATCTCATATTTGCTTGGATCCATAGTCTTAATAAGATTGCTATAGATATATCGTTAAATGATTCTTCACTTCCCTTGTGTACATGTAGCAAACCTTGGTGCACCATATATGTATGTATGTGTGTATATGTATGTATGTATGTACATATGTATGTATATATGTATGTACATGTGTATGTATATATGTGTATTTTGTTTGATATCTGCTTTTTAACAACTTGTTTTTTTTTGCATGGGTGGTTAACTGTAAGAGTAGCATGTTGCTAAACTTCGCCACTATATGCAGCTCTTGTTTCTCTGTATGAAATTGTACAATTTAAATAAAGACGATTATCATCATTATTATTAAAACCTCCCTATACCAAGTTTTATGCCAAAATCTGAAATCCTTCTCAAGCAATAAAGAAAAATAGAAAATAAAATTGTAACTTTGACACCCTGTATCTCGTATCTCGTTTTTTGTTTACAAAGAGGCTAAACACCGATATTAAGGACGCGATGGTGCTTGTTATTGTAATCCCTATGGCATGAAGGGATCAATACTTCAAATTCATATCCTTTGCAACGACAATACTATCGTTGCAGGTAAAGCGCTTCCAGCTTGATTTGTTTTCCGGGTTATGGTTTTCCTAGTTCGTGAATCAGACTATAAACCTGCACCATCTGTCTAATGTCATAAATCTTGGAGAACACCGTTGTGAAATTAACCGCACTTTAATTTGTGCACACTGACAGCAAAATATTCTCATTGTAACAATTTTGCTTCAAGGAGTTGCCAGGGCACAGGTGATGGAACGATTAAAATCCTATGCACCAGACGCGGGAGACTTGCCCGGGATTGAGGTGGCAATCTGGCACGTCAGATGGCCCGACACTTTGCTTTCCCTCTATCAACGGGGCACGGTTGCAGCTCCAAAAGTAAAGTCGACTAGTTTTGTGCATACTTCAAGGATCCAACCCAACTAACAATTTATGTTTACAGAACCATTTTTATAAAATAACAATGACGCTATAAACGTTCTAAGAACGTTTATAATGGGTGATTTTTTTGCTAGTATCTTTTTGGCAACACTGTTTTTGACAGATGACGCGTGAATCGTGTCTTGTGTCATTGTCAAACTTGTTCAGTTTGGTCTATAATTTAACCATGAATCGACTTACGAACGAAAAACGCTTGCAAATTATTGAATTTTACTATCAAAATTCATGCTCGGTTAAGAGAGTGCATCGAGCAGCTTCCAATTTATGGGCAATTTGGTCGGCCTACTGAGGGAGCTATTCGGAAGCTTGTAACTAAATTTCTAACCCAGTTTACATTATTGGACATTAAACCACCAACACGCAGACGTAAAGTGAGGACTGAAGAAAATATTGCGGCTGTATCCGCCAGTGTTAGTGACGACCGTGAAATGTCGATTCGCCGCCGTTCGCAGCAATTGGACCTCTGTTACTCCACTACGTGGAAAATTTTGCGACAGGATTTGGGTGTAAAACCTGATAAGATACAGCTGGTGCAAGAATTGAAGCCACATGACATCCCACAACGTTTCCAATTTGGTGAATGGGCGCTGGCAAAGTTGGAGGAAGATCCACGTTTTTATCGAAAAATTGTGTTCAGCGACGAAGCTCATTTCTGGTTGAATGGGTACGTTAACAAGCAACATTGCCGCATCTGGAGTGAAGACCAGCCAGAAGCATTGCAAGAGCTACCAATGCATCCCGAAAAAATCACTGTTTGGTGTGGGTTATGGGCCGGTGGCATCATCGGGCCGTACTTCTTCAAAGACGACAATGGCCGGAACGTAAGTGTGAATGCTGAGCGCTACCGTGCGATGATAACAAAGTTTTTTTTGCCCAAAATGGAAGAGCTGGACTTGGCTGACATGTGGTTTCAACAAGACGGTGCCACATGCCACACCGCACACGAAACAATGACCCTATTGATTGGCGAGTTCGGTGAACAGTTTATCTCACGTTTGGGGCCCGTCAATTGGCCGCCTAGATCGTGTGATTTAACGCCGTTGGACTATTTCTTGTGGGGCCATGTTAAGGCTAATGTCTACAGGGATAAACCAGCAACGATTGACGCGCTGGAAGCCAATATTGAAGCATTTATTCGTGAGATACCGGCCGATATGTTGGAGAGAGTGTGCCAAAATTGGACCTTGCGCATGGGCCATCTAAAGCGGAGCCGCGGCCAACATTTACATGAAATACTCGTTAAACATTAAATTATATCGGCCGTTCTATCGAATCAAATGAAGATTTAATCGTTTTTTCAATTTTTTTGTGTTTTTTTTGAAAATCAAATCCTATACCTCTTGAAAAATCACCCGTTACATTGCTTATAAACCCAAAAAGAGCGCATTTTCCTGTAGCTTTCACGGCATAATTGTTTAAATGTTTTTAAAATTATTACAAAACATGGTATGCAACAATTGAAGCGTGGAAATTCAAAAGCGTCTAAGTGCCAAAAAGTTATAACAAGTAAAAAAACAAGTGTGTTCCAGTGAAAAATATTTTATTAATCGGTTATTAGTGTTTGAAATACACTACTACATTTCAAAAAAATGTAAAATAGAGAAAACTTTTTTTACAGAAGAATACCAAACTTATAAAACTAAGAAACAGTCTAAGTGCCAAAAAAATCTATGTTCCAATAAAGTTACTTAAAAAAAATAAAAACACGAACTTCATGTTAATTAACACTTATTTTGATTTCTTAGCATTGTCAATCAAATTTTCCCAATAACTTAAATATTTTAAAGGTATACAGGAGTGACCGCGCATGGAGACGTGGGTTGCAAGACAAAACTCTCAGAAATGGAGAAGTATCTCCAGACATCTCCTCCAGGCACGGGATCTCATTGAAGGGCCCAGTGTTAAGGATGGACGCTTCTGCCTATCTCAGGATAGAGCCAACCTCAGGTTGCTGGTGGGACTGTTGTCTGGCCATAACACGTTAAGGCGTCACCTGCACGTGATGGGGGTGGTTGAGGATCCCTTGTGTGAACGCTGCGGGGTAGAGGAAGAGACCTCGGCGCACGTTTTGTGTCGCTGTGGCAGACTATACCATTACTTTGGACCCTCAGGATGTCAAGGAGCTTGGACTCAAGGCGATTCTCAACTTCGCTAAAAGGGCGAGGCTTGTTATCTAAGGAATGTAGAGGTGCATAAGGGCCCGCTTAAGCGGCCTATGCACTGGCTCCTTATGGTGGCCAGAATGCCTCTAATTTCAAGATTCATTCATTCATTCAAAGTATACACTCTAGCATATCCTCAAGATTTTTAATTTTCTCAGCAGACATTCGATGTTTGAATTCGAGGAGAGATAGTCCTGCTACTACGTCTTGAATCCGTTTTCCCTTCTTTAACATATTGCTCTCGGTATATTCTTCCAATTCATTGAAAGATTTCTTAGTTTTGACCACGTTGTGATTCTCTTTATTAACCATAATCCTTGAGACTTGGGATATTTTTAACTTTGTGGTATTCAACACATCGTCAGCAACTGTCTGAATGTCTTTAAAGTCTTTGGATTTCATCGTTAAAGCTTTACAAGGATTTTCATAACATGCATTCACTATCATTTCTTTTATATTATCTGGTGTGAAGGCTTTTGTTATTTTTTTGGCTTCTTGATTTGAGCGAAGTCTCGATCACAAGCGAAATACGAATATCCAGAAACTAAAAATTTTTGTTCAACTTGCTCATATACTCCCGAAGCCACCAAGCATATTAACAGCAAGAGCATTATTTTATTTTTATTTTGACCAATGCAGTTATCACTCCATATGATCAAATTTTTCTTTCTTGGAAAATCCCTCTGTAATAAAACTTTCAGAATACAAGAAGAAATTTCATTTCCTCCACAACCCGTTAACGACTCTTCCCATAAGCACATCTAGGCATAGTCTAAATCGGTAAAAAACAATGTAAAAAAATAAATTACCTCGATTTCAGGTGGCTTCTTAGCTTCTTTACGAATACCTCTGTAATTTGTGTTTTGAAGACCACTTAGCCTTAAGCGTTTTCTTTCTTTCTTGACACTTTCACTACCCTTTTTCCACCTTTTTCAATTGTATTTTGAGAACCAACTTCCACTTGTTCACTCATTTCGACTAATAATACGGTTATACCGTCAAAACTGCAATACAGCAATGTGTAATGAATTGGCACTTAGACGCTTTTTCCGTATAACACTGGTCAACACTGGTTTTACCACACGAACTTTGACAGCTAGTTTTGTTTTATCAGTCTACCCTCATTATTACCTGACAGCTGTCATATGTCTATTAGCCTCATATTTGTTGTGATACGGTAATGCTCATAACTAGTACTACGGCAGTAAATTAACAGAAACGCTTACAAGTAAATCCTTATAAAAATAATTGTTGTTGAAATTGAACAGTTTTTTGTGATTTATTAACCCTGTGAATATGTCGAGGAAGTGCAATAATGATCCTAACTCTTTTTGTTATGTCTGCGGAGAACTAACATTCAAAAAACAACGACGAAATTTTACGAATCTTGTCTCTGTTGGAGTGTTATTACCAATGTTTTGGTTTTTCTGTCGCCCATCAAGACAAATCCTGGGCCCCTCATGTCTGTTGCATAACGTGTGTGAAAAATTTAACTGACTGGAAGAAAGGTGCACGACCTATCCCGTTTGCTGTACCCATGATATGGACTGAACAGCGAGATCACGTTTCAGATGCTATTTTTGTCTCACAGACATAAAAAGATATAAATTACAAGAAAAAAACCACAGTTATTTACCCTAACTTATCTTCGGCTATAAGACCAGTCTCTCATTGTAAAAAATTGCCAGAACTAATACCAGTTGCAACTACGTCTGTTGAGAACAATTCACAACCGTCCACTTCGGGTGAATGTGTTGACGAGGACGATGACTTTGAGTTAAAAGGAATTGTAAACGAGCCACATTTGATAACTCAAGGAGACCTAAATGATTTGGTTCGGGATTTAAATTTGTCAAAAAAGCAGTCAGAACTATTAGGATCACGTCTAAAAGAATGGAATTTGCTACATCATAATACAAAAGTTAGCTATTTTCGAAACCGTGATCAACACTTCAGAACGTATTTTTCTCAGGATGATTTGGTGTTTTGCAATAACATAAATGAGATTATGAAAATTTTGGACATATATTTTGATCTCTCTCAGTGGCTTTTATTCATTGATTCTTCGAAAGCAAGTCTAAAAGCAGTGTTATTGCATAATGGAAATAAGCTTCCGTCTGTACCTCTGGCCCATGCTGCAAATGAAAGAAACCTATGAAAATATGAAACTTTTACTTGAAAAAATAAATTACAGTACATATTCCTTCAAAATCTGCGGTGATCTTAAAGTTGTTGCACTATTACTTGGACTTCAGCTGGGTTATAGAAAGTTTTGCTGAATGGGATAGCCGAGACAGAACTAATCACTATATAAAAAAAACATGGCCTACGCGTGCATCGTTAGTTCCTGGGCAAAAAAACGTAAAGTATTTACCCCTTGTACAGCCAAATAATGTGCTTCTACCACCATTGCATATCAAATTAGGATTAATAAAAAAATTTGTGAAGGCAATGGATCGCAATGGGAGTGGATTTTTGTATCTAAAAGAAAAATTCCCTAAAATAAGTGATGCAAAGATAAAAGAGGGTATTTTTGTTGGCCCTCAAATTAGGGAGTTAATAAAAGATTCAAGATTTGAAGAAAAATTAAGCGATTTAGAAACATCTGCATGGAAGGCTTTTAAAAATCTTGTTGCAAATTTTTTGGGTAACCACAAGAGTGACAGCTACAGAGAGTTGGTTAGCGAGCTATTATTGTCATATCAAGCATTGGGCTGCAGCATGTCACTTAAGATCCATTTTTTAGACTCGCACCTGGATTTTTTTCCTGACAATTTAGGGGCTGTCAGCGACGAGCACGGTGAGAGGTTCCATCAGGACATTTCTAATATGGAAAAGGGGTACCAGGGCAAATGGAGCCCAAATATGTTAGCAGATTACTGCTGGACAATTAAATGGGACCAACCAGAAGCTAAATATTCAAGAAAATCTTAGATTATTGAGTCATTTATAAAAAAAATAACTTTTGATTTACGAGATCTGTGTTTTTTCTTAATATTTTAAATTACTCAATAGAATAAAATCCTTGTCTAGCAAATTTTTTTTAACTGTTTATTTTTTCTTACAATCACCAATTAAAGTAAATAATATCAAAAAAGTCCGTGTGGCACGACAAAGTTAAAATTTTGTTGGCCAGTGTAATTGAGGACCAGACGTGGCGCCATCTTTAAACCGAGTATTTAACGATAATATAGTGAGTATGGTACTTGACTCTTTTGTATGTTATGGGCCTTGGCACATAGACTGCAATAACAATAAAATTCCAAATTAGGGCCATCCAGCACTTAGACGCTTTTGAATTTCCACGCTTCAATTATAAAACAGTTTTATTGAAAACAGTTACAGTGGAATTCTCCTTCACGGGTACCCCTCTCACATGGTCCCGACCGACTCTCATATAATTTGTATTGCATTAACTCTTGGACGGACATTCTCTTGAACGAGAAAATATTCTCCTAACCGGACAGAAAATAAAATAAAAAGAAAAGCCTTGTCTTATTTCTTTCCTGTTGGGAGTATCGCTAGGGCTTTCTCGAGTAAACGAGGGATTCACCGACTTTAATCTTTCGGTAAAAACGCAACCTATGTGGCGGATTTCGGCCACATTCATTGTAGAAATGGCTCCAAATTATGAAAGAGTGGTTGCAAGATTGGAAAATGGCTAAATAAAAAAAAACATTTGGTTATTTTTATACAGTGCGGGATCTAATCCAAAGTCATTCGCTTAAATAACATAAAAATCTTAATTTTGCCTCCTAATTGTACATCAGCTTGTCAACCACTTGAATGTAATACTCAAACAGCTGCTAGTGAACATTGAAACTGCTGGTACAGCTTTTGAGTTAATAAAGAAAATTACGTCATTGGATGCAGGAAGGCAGGACTTCAGCATGGAAATATGCAGAGTGAAGATCAGTTAAATGGGGCTGGTAAGCCTGATCCTGAAGACTTACAACTTAATGTAGTTTCAGATATCGTTAACAATAAGAATTTATATAAATTGACTGGTAATGAAAACCCTTATGATTTCATAAACCTAGATGAAAGTTTGTATGTTGAAGATTCAGATTCAGGCCAAGAAATTGAAAATAAAGTTGAAACATAAGAACTTTTCCAAGTTTCTGATGTCGATAAGGTTCCAGTACCAACAAACGCTATTCCAAATTATGGTAAAGCTATTGCCCTGACCAAGCAGCTTAAACGTTTTGTCGATAATCTGGCGCTTCTTCCTAAGCTAGAAATAGGATTTCAAGATGCCATTTTAAAGAAAAAGAGAAGGCAAACGACAATATATGAATTTTTGCGACCTTACAGTGACGTTAGTTCATTGATTTGTTACTACATAAAGGTTGGGAAATCTCGAAACTACAGACCAAAATATGTGAATTGACCTAAACATACCTTAGTTCAAAAGTTGATAGTTTGCGAGATACAGGGTGTCAAATTTACAATTTTACTTTCTATTTTTCCTTATTGCTTGAGAAGTATTTCAGATTTTGGCATAAAACTCAGTATACGGAGGTTTCTAGTATGAGAAACAAGGATCCGCTATTTTTCATGGCCAAACTTCTAGAGGGCGCCACTTACAGCACTATATCGGTAAATAACTTACCATAACTTTTTTGTGCTACCCTGTATACAACAACTGACCGAAAAAAATCTGATTTTCTTGTATATCCCCAGCATAAAAGGTTTACTTGTTAGAAATGTCTAAAGCTAATAGTTTTCGAGATATTTGTTTTTAAAGGTTCCAATGCATTATTTATACCATGACGATACAACATTTTTATATCATAATGTTTCTTTTGATAATATCTGTGTAGCGTTGCTATTGGTTTCTGACAATAACAAATGAGGATGACAACAAAACTAATAACAGGAAATAACAACTACAAAAATTGTTCAAAATGAGCACCACCTTGCCTAACACACTCTCGAGCTCGACGAACTAATCCTTGCTGCACTATCCAAAGCATTGGGATGTTATTTTTCAATTTCCTGGCTATAGTGTAAAATTCTTTGTCGAAGATCATCTACAGTTTCCAGTGGCGTATTGTAAACGCGTCGTTTTAAATCACCTAAGAAGAAGAAATCTATAGGATTTAGATCTGGTGATCTAGCCGGCCACGATACAGGTCCCGATCGGCCTATCCACTTGTCTGGATAAACTCTATTTAGGTGCTCTTTAACTAATATACAATATATTCATGCGTGTTTGTAATGGAAGATCTTCCAGAAAAGTGGGTAATTGTTCTTCAAGAAATTGTAAATACCTTTGCCCATTTAGTCCAGGTGGTAACCCAACGGGTCCTATTAAATATTGTCCAATTATTCCTGCCCATTAATTCTTTTGGAATTGTACTTGGTGGCGGGTTTGTATTATTGCATGAGGATTTTCGTCTGCATAAATGTGAAGATTATGCGAGTTAATGGGCACATCCCTTCCAAATCCTGCATCGTCCAAATTAATATTAACGAAATAAAACCATGGTGTTGGTTAAACTTCCTTAAGAGTCATGTACAAAATTCCACCCTTGCGGGGTCATCATCCGCGCTTAAACCATGTAGTTTTTGCAGGTGGTAAGGATGGAGCAGTTGCTTTTGAAAAATAGTATTTACTGTACATTTGAAAACTTGAAAGTCTCGAGCTACATTCCTAACCCCGACTGCAGGATTTTCAAAGACAGCATCTAAAACATTTTCTTCAACTTCAGCTGTACGTACAGTTCTGGGAGGTCCACTATGTCGGCCAATACTTTGAGCAAAACTATCTAAGATCCAAATGGTTTTTAATACTCAATATAAGTCTATAATCATTTCTTACCAGTTTCTCGTAACCGCTGATCGTTGGAAAGTCTCTGAATTAGGCAGGTGTTGATTAGGGAATCTGTCAGCGTACAATCTTCGTGCTTTTAAAGCATTACATGTTGACAATCCGTACATTAAATGCATATCAGAATATTCATCAAACATATACTCCATGATGTTTAACAACTTATTGTCAACTTAAAATTATTTATGAAGTTTAAAGCAATATTAAGACAAACATCAGAAACCATACCAACGCTACTCAGATATTATCCAAAGCAACTTGATTATTATGTTATAAACATGTTTTATCATCATGATACAAATAATGCGTTGGAACTTTAAAAAACAAATATCTCGAAAACTATTAGCTGGAGACACTTCTAACAAGTAAACCTTTTTTCTTGTAGAAATACGAGATAATGAGATTTTTCGGTCAGTTGTTGTATACAGGGTAGCACAAAAAAGTTATGATTATTATCATTATGTTTAGGCCAATTCACATATTTTGGTATCTCCAGTTTCGAGTTTTCCCAACCTTTCGCAGACACCCATATTTATGTATATTGTACAATGTACATACATATTATATTATATTATGCATTTGTATATATCTGAAGGGAACAAAGCTTTTTTAAAGTTGAATGTTTTTTGTATACTTTAAGAACATTTATATACATATACGTTTTAAATGTCAGTTTCTTTAATATATTCAATTTTCATTATTTCTTTTATACGGCGAGCGAACACTTTCGGTCGGTCCCACTAGTGTCCATCCAAAGGACTAGGACTATACTTAACTGTATGGAACTAGAATAACAATTTTATAAAAGTTGTTTTATTATCATTGATGCAGCGTTTTCGTTTTGCCTAACACTAAAATTTTGCGTTTGCTGTAAAATTGCACCAACTGTTTCTTGACTGAATATTGTGTGTATTATAATATTTTGTAGTGGAGTGTAACACAAAAACGTTTTATTCTATTCCAGAGTCAAATATTCGCGCAATACAGAGTACAAAGAAAAGATCCAGATGAGCGAAGATACAATGTGACCCTGAAGGTGTTGACCCCGTTCGAAGCCTTCCCGAAGTTGAATTTGTTCGCAGCTTTTGAGACCGAGGAGAATTTTTATCGCACCACGCTATTATTCAACACGAATAGGAGTGATATATCAGTGGACGCTACAACTGAGGTAAATATGTTTAGTTTGCTGGGAGGTATGCCTTTCAATTTGCACCAGACAACCCAATTTTAGCGGAACTACTCCAGTTTATTTTGTGTTTTATTGCTAAGGGGGTACGAGGATTCGTGTCTCTTGATGGTAGTAAACTTTATTGACAGACTTTGTACATGAAGCATCTAGCGATTTTCTTGCTGGATCCGGACTTTGTTTGGCAATACATACGGATGTCAAAATCAAATAAACACTCGCTATAAATAATAATCTATATACAGGCTATAAAGAAGTCAGGTGATAGAGGGCGTCAAAACCTATCGAATGAACCCCTATATGCGTTGTCCGAAATTTTATAGTTATAGGAGATATTTGCAATTTTTTGAACTTTCGAAAAAACCGGGAATAATGAACCTTCAATCACAATTACAACTAAACCATTAGGCTTAGGGCTGTGATTTTCTAAGATAAGCTAAATGGCTAGTTTTAGCAATGGCTATGTCACTTTTTAACCGAGCTTATTACAAATCAACTCAAAAAATCTTAAATTCATTTTATGTGAAAAATCTCTTTCAACCCTCAACTTTGGAGGGCGGTAAAAAAATTGAGGTTGTATACCATTAATCATTTTATTGTAGAAACTATTTTAATCTATGTAGAATAAACCCTGAAAATTTCAGCTTGCTTCACCTTAAGAAATATGTGTTTGACGCTGGTGGGTATCTATACATGTAAACAAGAAATTCTATTTAACGAGCTACAGTCCAAACAACTTGATGGATTTTGACATATGACGTACTGTTAGATTCGATCCTGCAGTGCGAGTGTGTATTTGTAATAATAATACTATGTGCTCATGTTTGGCGACAACGGATATAATCCGGCTTATCGGTACATCGCATCAGAAACAAAAAAGCGAAAGAATTTGAAACGCTTATCACGATGTTTTTACTACAATTTTATTCAGTTGTATTCAGTCAATGTGTCAGTCGGTAACGCGTGAGTGAATAGTGGTGTTTGTTGCGTGGCTCAAACGAAATAAAAAATGACACATGTTTACGAAAATGCTGAACATGTGGACATGATTCTTATTTACGGGGGGGTCTTTACAAAATGCTGCCGCGGCATCACGGATTTGTGCGGATCGGTTAGCCAATCGAGTGCAACCAACCCCTCGTGCCTTTGTTAATGTAGTACAAAGGGCTCGTGAATCAGGTGACTTAAGACCTCACAGAGGAGGGCATGCCGGTGCTCCAAGACCGCACGATCCAATACAGGTCCGCACTGAAATAATTGTCGGGAGGATACTTCATAAAACAAGGTAACACTTTTTTTTTATTTTTTTTTTATTTTTACACACATATTTTGGTTTACTTCAAAGTCCCCTGTATACTACTACCCTGTATACTAGGCACTCATCGTCAGCTAGGAGCGCCGAGGATACGCCCAGAAGGAATAGCAGACATAATAGAGCAGCCGAGAAAGATCCCTCTATAAGCACCAGAGTCATTGTCCGAAGCAGAAACATGTCTCATACTTCAGTGCATCATACTACGCTTGGAGAATATGCATCCTTACCAAGTACAAAAAGTACAAGAATTGCTTCCAAGCGACTATGCTCAACGGGTTGAATTTTGTGAGAATCTGTTGAGAAGGTGCGAAGAGGTTGAAGCTTTTTTTGAAAGCATCTTATAGACAGACTTCAACCGAAATGGAATATTCAACATGCAAAATTTCCATTCATGGAGCGTGAAAAATCCACACGCTATTAACCGAAACAGCTTTCAACGTCACTTCGGCATTAATTTATAGGCTGGAGTACTCACCAAAAAACTGATTGGACCACATGAACTGCCTGCCAGGTCGAATGGTCAGTGATATCTTGCTTTTCTACAAAGCAGTTTGCATGAGGTGCTAGAGGATGTACCTTTGGACGTTAGAAGCCGCATGTATTTTCAATACGATGATGCCCTATGCCACTTTGCACGGGATGTACGGCATTACTTAGATAGTGCCTTTCCTGGGCGTTGGATAGGTAGAGGTGGACACATACGATGGCCTCCAATGTCACTCTCTCGATCTTTTTATATGGGGGTTTTATAACGGGATGACCTATACATCTGAATATAGAAATGTCAACCAACTGCGCCAGGAAATTGACGAAGGAATAATAAAAATTATTCGTATTAACAAAATTTCTTTGGGATCATCATAGCAGCTACGGTCTTCCGACAGTTAGGCTTCTGCCTGCGCAGATGCTTCGATATAAAAAAAATGGAAAACGCAAATTAATTTAAAGACTAAAAGACAACTTTATCAGAAGGTGACACTTGTGTAAAGAAAATAATGAAGGCCATTCCAAACATGTCCTTTAAAAGTAAGTTGAATTAAATTACCTTCCAAATTTGTCGATAAATCGCCATAAAGAGCGGCTACGTGTAGGTGGTAAGGATTCTTACGTTTATCGCATCACAACAACGAATGTCACATGATACACTCATCGTAGCAAGCTGACATTTTCGGGGTTTATTCTATATGGATTGAAATAGCTTTTGCAATAAAATGAATAATAAAGTACAAGCTCAATTTTTTTACCGCCCTTCAAGGTTGAGGGATGGATGAGATTTTTCACACAAAAATAAATTTGAGATTTTTTGGGTTGATTTCTAATAAACTCTATTGAAAAGTGAGATAACTATTGCTAAAACTAACCATTATCTTATCTCAGAAAAAAATCACAGCCCCAAACCTTATGGTTTAGCTGTAATTGCGATTGAAAGTTCATTACCCCGTTTCTTCCGAGATATTACAAAATTGCAAATATCTCCTATGCTGTGAAATTTCGGACCACACATATAGGGGCTCATTCGATAGGTTTTGAGGCCCTCTATCACCTGACTTCCGTTGATCCACTACTAACTTTACACCCTGTATATAAAAATGAATCCCTGTTTCGCGTGGTCACACTATAACTTGAGAACGACCTTACCGATTTCATTCATCTTTTTTTTAAGTTTCCTAATGCTGTATAGAAGGAATATCTCAAGTACCAAAAGAGCACTCCTCTCCGCCATCATTATTTCAGCAACTATTGACAGTTAGCTATGCGAGAGGAAATTGCTTATGAAAACAAGGAGCTTTTATTTTTGGACATACATTTCTTTACCATCCGTACTTTGTGATGACCCCTTTAAAAGAAACTGCAGTGTTGCATAATTGTTATCGTTGTGAGTTAACTCTATGAATAAAAAGGGCGGATGAAAATACGTTTGTTTTGCTTAATTGACTTTCACTACTCATCATTTTGAACTTGACAGCACGCACGCCGCAAATTTATATTATCGTTCAACAGTGTTTATCGATGAAAAAAATGTTGTTTTATTTTATTAGTAGTGCACAGTCCATTCGATTAGAGCTTTTATCCAGTTTTGTATTTCGGGAAGAATTTGTTCAAAAATAATTAACAATGGTGGAAGCTAGTTCACCTTTATAACGCCTTATATATTAAAATTGTGATTCTTCAAAATGCCACCAATTAGACGTACCAACCTAGCTCGCAGGACTCGCAATGCTGCAAGTCAAAGATATATACGATGGAGTCAAAGTGACGAGCAACGAGAAGCGATAAATGAAATTGAACGGATCGAAGAACTGAAATTCAACAACGTAAAAGTGTCTGTAGTGTTGCACTTAATTCCAGTCGAGCTGCATTAAATTATGACCTGGCAATCAATTACAGTTCACAACAAATCGTTGCTATCGGACCAATGAACGTTGTGAGTCCACATTGCAAGGCTTTCAAGTTTAAAAATGAAGCCGCTGGATTATGTTGCGTCAGTGGAAAAATCAAATTGACTCCATTGGTACCACCTCCAGAGCCATCACATTCATTGGTTTCCAGAAATGGGCAAGATTCTATACATTTTTTCACACATACACAGCAATACAATAATTGCTTTCAAATGACGTCATTTGACGCAACAAAATTCATTCGACATAATTTTATGCCTACTTTCAAGGTAACATAGGTTGATAGGTGATTGGCAGTGCTGCCAACGTATTTTGCTAGCCTCATGGCATTACAAACACTTCGCTATACAAGTACCTGTATTCCATAGGTATGGGTGAAAATCAGAGAGGTGAGCATTCTGCTTCTGACAAAGTTTTTCCTAATAAAATAACATGATATTACTACAATATTTATTTCAAAATGTAGGTACTGCGCATAATTACCAGGCACTTAGCATATTTATTTTTTATAATAATGTTTTACTTGAATTTAAGTAAAAACAGGCCTGAGTAGTCATTTCGGGAACGCGTCCTTATACCATGTTTCATAGTTCAGACAAGTCAAAAATGTTTACAATTACGAACTAAAAATGTCATATTTTTATATTAGCTTTGAAAATCATTAAATTAAGAATATATCTATAAATTAAATTCATATTATTTTAATTTCCTCATATTTTGGTTACTCAAATGCTGTCTGACATTTACCAAACCATTACGTGAACGCAGTTTCGGTTGGTCGATGTAATTAAAACAACAAACAATAGGTGGCGTTAGGGTGCAGCAATGTGAAGTTCACTATATGAAAAAACGGAGTGTCTCGTGTTTACGGAAAAAAATAATTCTTTTTGTTGCTAAGTAGTGTTTAATTTGCTATGTATGTAACGTACTTTAATTCCTTGTCACTACTTCTTTCATAATAATGATAAATATTACAGTTCACATGTTCTGAACTTCCAAAACCAAGCGTTACATGTAATTATTTATCGAATAGTCATTTAGGGATCGATCATTTCGGGAACGTTCTCGTCTATGACGGGGATGTCTCACAAGTGCATAAAATATTGGAGTATCACCAAAATATCATCACACGTAATGATATGCATTAGTTTTTTTCTAAGGAGGGATTTGTCAGAAAATAGCATTAATGGGTAAGGCATAAAAACACATAAGCGCTTTGAATGTTCAATAGAATATTAATGTTAATATCGACTTCTCAACAAGTCAAA